GACTGCTGCCACGGCGTTTGTCCGCGCCGCTGAAGTCCGTCCCCCTGGGAAACTGCACAGCTGCGTCCAGGCTGAGCGAGCCAGCTGGGGGTGCGGGACAGGAGGAGCGGAGCTGTTTCGCGCCCTCCTGCCTGCCGGCGGTCGGGGCGTCCCCCGAAGCGGGGTGCTATGCACAGGCGCTCCCAGCAGCAGTCCCGAGCCATGAAACACTCGCTTTCCGCGCGCGCTCTCCTGCAGCAGCAGCAGCAGCCTGATGAGAATAACCTAAATAACGGAAGCGGAGGCGCTCCTCCGTAGTGAGCTGCTGCCTTATTTTGACCAGGGGAGGAGTGGACGCGGTGGTAGTGTTTGCATTAGCGTGTTTGCTGCTGCCTGGGAAATCCGTAACTGGGACGTGTGCTTGCGTCCTGGACTGGCTGCTTGATAAACATTTGTGCAGCCTTTTAAACAAAAACCAGAGTTCTGTTCTTCAAGAAAAGCTTCCTTTTCAGTATAAGCCCTTATTTCTCTTTTTAAGTGAACTCAAATCATTTTAAATATCATGCTTCAGACCTTTAATGTTACTCGTACGGGTAGTTATTCTGTTTTGTAAAATTTAGCACAGAGTATTCACAGAGTTGGCACTAGGTGTTGTGAACGTGAAGGAAAAGAGGGAGTTCCTGACATGGGGACTTTGTTCAAAATGCAGATTGAACTGGAAAGAGCAGAATTATAAACACCTGGAAAAAAACATCGCCCTGGTGAGGAGGCTGAAAAGCTGTGGCCAGGGCAGCGTCCTGACATGAAACGCGTACAGCTGTACGGGTGAAAAATATTTTCTACAGAAGAAACTTAAACAAAAAAAATTTTTTTTTCATTTTTTAAAACCGCTGCAAAATTTGCCGCGGAAGCAGCTTTCCTGTCTTTGCCCCCAGTGCAGCACTGGAAGTCCTGCCCGCGCGCTCCCGCTGGAGGGGGGCAAGGCACGCGGCGGGGACCGCTGCCGAGCTGCTGGAGCCAAACAGGGACTTCCGTGTGACTCAGAAAATGGTTTTCTGTCTCTCAAAGCTGATGTAGAAGAGAAAGATAAGGGATCAGAGCAACCCCCCCCC